TCTCTCGAGGGGGGGACAGCGTCTTGACATATCCCCTTAGCCTCCTGTCATTGTCTGTCCTGAATCCAGTCCTGATAACTATGAACACTGTGCCGTGTCGTAGAGCAGAAACGTCTTCCTTCGAGAGGCAACTGAAAACTACTCGCACTCACAGTGTCAGCATGAGTGTGTAGAGGTAGCTCGTCGTTGTTTTTTTTAGATGGTCAGGTCTTTGCATTCGTCTTTACCCACGGAGTTAGCGTCATCCAGCTGGCTAGTCGGCAGCTCGTTACAGCACACAACACAGTTACGTGAGCACCAATCAAAGAGACCCAGAGCTTCCAAACTGATGTCAGTGAAGTACTTTTAAGTATTGCGAGAAATAGAGGGTGAGAGATACCAGTGTCCACCGAGAGGAGATTGATGTAAAAAAAAACATCTGATCGTTGAGTGCGCTTCAAGCACATCGTCCTTGGTTTGGTATTCGAAGTGAGTTTCAGACCCTGCTGGTCCGGGGCTCAGCTCAGGCAGCTGAATGGTCCTCGATACATTCCCAGTACATTAGAGTTGGAGGCTCACCAGAATATCGTGTGATGTAGACTACATAGAGAATTCAAGGTTGTACAGGTTTTAGAGCTTCTGTCTGTTTGCAAACATTAAGCAACTACGGCTTCGATGGTCAAAAAGATTGTTTATGAATATTTCAGAAGGTAAACTTCTAGCATTGGTGTGCACACTTGCAAAAATGTTGTGCCCCACCCAGTTGTATGTGTTTCCATGGCCGAGTTCTGTCTTTTTTCTTTCCTTGTGTTTCACTGTTACTTTCGCCATTTTCTTCATTCTCTTCATGGTGACTGCTCTGCCAATGCCAGGCTGACAAATATGTCTTTCCGTTTTCTATTGCTTAATACTGCCATTTGATTTAGTCATGTTGAACAGAATGAGTTACAATGTTGAGAGTGCTAAGTCTGTTTTCTTTTTTAAAGTTTCTGCAATCAATGTTCAAGATTTCCTGTGTAAACACTCACATAAACCAAAAGATCAAAAATGCTTTACATGGTTAGTAGGTGCCACTGTTAACTTAACGGCTACTTTGTGTTGTGACAATATAATGACATGTCCTCTCCAGGTGTTTGGAAGGTGTTATGTGGTCCTTGGTTGACACATCCTCTACGAAATCCATTTATATTATTTCCTTTATGTGCCTGTTTCTGTTGAATATGTTTTTTGTTTTTTTAAATTGAGTACACTGTATGCAATCTGCACCACGAATGCCACTGATAGACACTTACTGTATTCTCCCTGAGACACAGATGTTCTGTCATCAGTTCAGATGATTGCAACCACATGTGTAGTGGCGTTATGGCTGTCCATAAAGTGACTTAGCAATCACACTAATCTAAACTAATATTTTATTTTAACAAGTGATAATACCAGAGTTGTTTTAAAAGGAAATGTTATCGTACTAACTCGATTTTTTTAACATATTGAATATATCATTTTAATGAGAAATAATGTGACTAACACCTAACAGTCATACGGACATGCATACATCTAATATAACAGGCTAGCATCATGCATTCACGTAAACATTCCAAAGATAAAAGATGTATGTTCATTTTACATGCCATCAAATTGTATAAAACAGACTTAGGTACTAGTCCATTGTACTGCGGTCTTAGTAGGAGAGTGAATGGGGAGAAGAGGTGGTCACTGGAGTATCTGGATGTGACTTCTGCCGGATTTTATTTTTGAAATGTTGGGACACAAAGAACAACTCATCAAGAACTGTATAAAGTATATTTCAATGGAATGTTCATGATCTATCTTTTTATATTTTGAAGAAAAAATAGAAACATATCAATAAAGTGTCATAATTGAACTTATTTCTACTATTGAGACTAAAAATGTATGAATGTTAATGCGATCTAATGTGAACTAATCTCCATAGCAGCTTGAATGAACAACTGATTAACAGTCATGAGATGCTTTTTCAGAGACATTTAAATTGCTTAAAAATCATTGAAATGAACTTAAAATAAATGAAAAAGTGACATCAATGACGTGTCAGTTTTCTAACGGATGAAATGTGTGCTCCTGTGCATACTGACTTCTGTAGTGACTGTCACAGTCATCAGCCTGTCAGGAACAGGAAGCCACAATACAGTGATTGATTTAATAGTGCTTGAAGTGTGTATACAGAAAAAAAAAAGTATTTCAAGAAACTGAAAGATGACACGATGGCGCTTAGATGTTTAAGCGTATTGTGCTGTGGATGCAAGCAGTCAAAGTAATCTATAATTTTAAGGTCAACTATATTTGTGATATGATATTTGAGATTGATTATGCTATGTAATTTGTGGTTCCTGGCTTGATATCACATTTCTGTAACTACTAATACCCTTGAAAGGGGACACGAACATGTTCAAATCAAACTAAATGTAATACTTCTTAACGTTTAAAGAGTAATTATATTCTAGGACCTGATGACATGACTTTATGAAAATATGCATATTAGCAGGTTTGCACTGGTCTTAATTTAAAATCTGTGGCAGTAATTTTCTAATCAGCTACATACATGTAGGAGAGTTATCAATTAGAATACCAGTTAGCAGTGAAATAAGTTAACATTTTTTTTTGTTCCGATGTACCACAGACCCATAAATCAATGCAAAGAAAAGGGGTGTGAACATGAGTTGTTAAGGTAAATCAGAGTTTCAGAAAAGTGAAAAATGTATAGGCAATTATCACTTAATAATTTTACCATTGCTTTTTTGGAGAATGCTTATATCCATGATAAAAGCACAGAATAATTAACTGGTGTAAGGACCTCATGTTAAGATAAGGCAATGTGGTCTGATGAGTCATCTATTTTCTACTCATGGATCCCAATAATCTGTTTCATACTGCTCTCCGTGGTGATAAATCTGTGCTGGTATGTGCAGCCATCTCACGTGAGTCACAGGGTCTCATGGTTTCTCTGCAGAGTTGCATGACAGCTACACAATTAAAAGCCATTTTACAGAACCAGAAGCACCTACCTCTCTGTCACAGTATTCCCTTACCCGAGATTATGATGCACTGCGCTAAAAATAACATTTCTACGGGGCGTCACTCTGTGGTTCGTACCCACATTCTCTACACCTCTATAAAATCTAGTAGAATTTCTTACTGCATTTTATATTCATTTAGTGTTGATTTATTATGTCAACACTTTCATATATTCTCATGATTATTGCTTTATGAGCACATTTATACAAAATGTTGTCAGATACATGTTGTGCAGTCTGAGTCATATCATTTGATGACATGATATGGCTCCAAATGGGGATGAAATGTGGCAATGCAGAGAGCAGTGTATTCTTTCTGTCACTGAAGGCAGCTATGAGGAAATGTCGGCAGAGGCCTCCTTCAGTCTTTTCTCCTTTGTGCCAAAACATCACCTCCCTCTGGTGGAAATACACAGTAGTTTCTGGTTTGGTAGATTCAGGTTGATGAGTAATAACATAAATCCTATTGGTTGGATGATTTGTTTTTAACATGCATGGTTATTTCTGTCATTTTTTTGTAAAAATTACCTAAATACTAGCACAAGCCTTACACATGAACATATTACAATTATTATAAAAATGTTGTCTATTAATATTATTATTATTATTATTATTATTATTATTATTATTATTATTATTATTATTCCATGCAATATGACTTAAACCATTCCATTAATATAAATCCACAATTTATTTATATATAGACATATATTTTTGTTTATGTCACATCATTTTCAAGTATCTAAAAGTATCCACAGGGCACATTTAAACTGTCACACTTATCAACAACAGCTCAAATCATACACATGAAACTAATACTTGTCTTACTGTATTACACCTCAGCTACCTATTAATAGGCTAGGATTATAATGTACTGCACATTGTGGCAATAATCGTTTTGCCAATGCTAACATTGCAGCTATAGACTACTTGTGCAACATCTGAAAAAACACCACAGTTTAACATAAAAGTTACATGAAAGATTGGTCGCTAACACAACACATTCTGTTTCTTTTCAACAATTAAAACACAAATGTCAAATGAGTTACAACGACTGGTGGAGGCACATTAGCTTATTCCAAATGTGAACACATCCCAGCCAGCAACAAGGCTCTGTTGCTCTATCATGGCAAACAACAGCATGTACTTATAGTACAGTAAGAACATGCTGTTGTTTGACATGATGATTTTAATGAAACAACCAGATGAAGTCCTAAGGAACAAAAAATCGCAGTCAACTCAGCTCTCAATGCAGGCTAACTCTGCTAGCTTGCAATGCTATCTATCTACTTAAAAACAAGCAAGACTTGGTTTGTTCTTCACACATAGTCAGTGCTCTATTTAAAAAAATGTTGTCAATGTCAAGTTATAGTGAAAGTAAATATTTTGTCTCTGTAAACTGATATGCTAATTCACATCTCGATCCACAAAATCCACATGTTGATCAGAATGTACCAAGGATCCAAATGAGGGTATACAGTTGCAAATCATTTGTTATATTTATTTGTAGGCTACTAGACATTTTAGAAGAGTTGATGGTAATTACATTACATTACATTTTATATTTGTAATTATAACAGATCTAAACAATCTAAATGCACATTGCTGTTTATGAGTTAATAGGTTTGCAACTTTAAATGAACTGCCAACTGGCTTTCCTTTATTGTGTATGTCATTTTTACGATTGTAACTAGAGCTCAATTGCTTTTAAATAATGCACATTCTAATCAAATGCTTTTTAATTAATGAGGAGCAGTGAGGGACCTCTGTCAGTCAGAGTACTATGCTTGTTAGAGGCGGTAACACCATGTAGTGCCAGGCAGAGGTGACATTTGATAGGAAGGTTGAAGGTTGTCTTGCCTCATAGCTAAAATGGAGGGAAAGGACGGGGAGGGGTCGGAGAGGGCTCTAGCAGATATTGAATTTCAACAGGACAGCATTCCCAAAAAATGTCAAGACGGACGACGTGAGGCAGCAAGGGACAGGATAAGATCGTGGATGTTCTCTTAGCAAACAACTGGAAGCACAGTTTGAGTATAACCTGGTCACAGAGTTTAGCTGCCAGAGGACTGAAAGTAGAAAGCTAATCAAGGACTTTGTGTATATGACAGACGGACATGATGACAGAGAGGAAAACATACAACCTGATGAGCCACATCCTGCCATTAGTCTCTGTCATCAGCTGTTTTACACTTAGTGAGTAAATGCTTTCATCTCGCTAGCTAACATTGCCTGTTTGTAATTGTTTTAGTCCACAGTTTGATTGTGTGTGTTATGCTTGATTAACATTTAAAAGGAAGTTTTGCAACGTTTTGAGCAATGTGTTTCTGTAACTGATAAAAATCTGTCCTGGAGAATATTTACTATTTTTACTATATTATCTCTCTTACAGCAATTTGCTTCTCATGCCATCTGTAATGCTATTCAATTGAAAACCAAATCCACTGATGGAACTATCACTCTGGTTTCAGACAGGGTTTGCTTTTAAGTCCAGTTGTTCTACAAATTATCTGGAGAGTGGTTTGTACAGTTCCCTGGCCTGGGACACACAGAGGAATGGACAGGAGTGACCCACAGGACGACGAAAGAGGAGGCAGAGGGAAAGAAAGCGATGAAGACAATGATAAACAGCTGAAGAACCAGCTCAACTGTGAGGAAAAAGGAGTGCAGGAGATCAAAGGGAACGAGAAGGAGAACAAGAAAGAAAGCAGGCGTTCTGGGTCTCTGTGGAGGAGTGGATGGGCACTGAGTGAAAGACTGGTCATCAATGTCTCAGGGATGCGTTATGAAACTCAGCTTCGCACCTTAGCCCAGTTCCCTGATACCTTGCTCGGAGACCCCAGGCGCAGGTCACGATACTTTGACCTACTTCGAAACGAGCTCTTCCTGGACCGAAACCGCGCCTGCTTTGATGTCATTCTGTACTTTTACCAGTCAGGTGGAAGGCTTCGAAGGCCAGCGAACATACCCCTGGACATCTTCATGGATGAGCTGATGTTCTACGAGCTGGGAGACGACATCATGAACCGCTTCAAGGAGGACGAAGGTTTTCCAAAAGATGAGGAGGCCCCATTGCCGACCAACGAAATCCAGAAAAGACTGTGGATGCTGTTTGAGCACCCCGAATCCTCATCGGGCGCACGTATCATAGCCATCATCAGTGTCATGGTCATCGTGTTGTCCATCCTCATCTTCTGCCTGGAGACACTGCCAGACTTCAGGAATGAGAAGGAGGCCCGGGAGGTACGTAGTGTGATCAATATGTATGTTTGGGAGGAAGAATAGTATAAAGAGGGGTCAAAGATGGAAGGATTGGAAGTTTTTAGGGTTTCCGAATTTCCCTTAAAGTAAGGTGAATGGCTTGATGAGTACTAAAGGTGGTAAGTATCCTCCATTAAAATAAAAAATGTACTTACCCTGAGATCATTTAGGTGGGTGACAACCGTACAAATAAATAGGAATGTGCATTCAGAGAGGACACGGCCAAATAAATACAAATACATTGTAACATTTGGCCTAAGATTTGATATTTCAACGGTAAAGAGTTGGACATGAGAAAATATATTGTTGGTAGTCATTTTAAAAAGGCGCACTCGACCATTCAAAAGTTTTTAAACCGTTTGCTCATGGTTTTATAATCAATATGACACCAATTATGTAATTGCCACCTGCCAAAACTGTAAAAGAAGAAGCCCAAACCAAACCACCTGGGATTAGCTCTTGAATGGGATGTGTGAACAGCTTGGGTCAGGCTGAAACATGATATCACAGGAAGCAGGTGTTTAGGTAAACACACACTTGTGAGTACTACAGCGTGTTAAGAGGAAAAATACTGACATGTGAAGAACTATTTTCTATGTCTGGACACAAACCAGAGAGAGAGAGAGGTTGAGTAAGAGAAGCTTGAGTGTGATTATTTTAGTCGGCTGTTAAATTTGATACACTAGGATTCAGGAAGCGCTAAAGGGTACAGGCAGTAACCCATGGGGCATGGAGTACAAATAAAAGGAGGGAAAGAAAGGACAGGGTGACGAGACTGTTAGGTGTGTTAATAAAAGGTCACACAAGTGTCTGAGCACATGGGCAAAGGTGAACCAAAGCCTTCTCGTGGCTTAGAACTGGAGACTAAAAGGTCTCACAGGCGGCGAGGCATACATTGGGTCATGTTAACACATTCTTCCAGGACTGCGGTGCTAGGCCAGGGTGCCTTTGCACAAGAGCCTGCCAGGAAACTACTGTAACTTACTCCAGTCCAAGTCAGCTGCAGACCCACTGAACTGCATTGCTAATGTTGCATGGCTGTGGAGGCCAGGGAGCCAGGATAGCAACCAAGGTGGAGATGGGAGAGGAGACGTTCTCATGTTTCTCTTCGGAGATCTCACGGGGTTATATTTAGTCTTAGGAGAGCCCTTAGAGCAGATCAACACATAGATGTCCACCTTTAGTAATAAACACTACCACAGAAAGTCAAGAAGAATACTCGTTTATTCAAACAACGCTGAAATGTATTTACAGCCCATTACAGCATACTAAACTGATCCCCTTATATCCGTGTCATCCGCTTTCACACTTTTAACTTGATGTCAAGTGTAAGATTTTTTAAACTGTCACTCTCCAATGTTTGAATGTGATTCTAATAACAGACACGGATGACGGAAAGACAGGTGGAGTGACAGAGATAAACGAAGTTATGGTTGAAATGTAAAGCCGCAGATGTCAGACACTTTTATGATGGTGTCAAAAGTGAGAACCAATCAGATCTTGGACAACATACTGAACAGTCTATGTCGATTATAAGATTACCATGAAACAGTAGTCCTTTCTGAGTAGCAGTTTGTAAAATGAACAAATTGTTTAACATTTCAGGAAATACATTTATTTTATCTGCAAGACTTTTATAACACGGATGGAACACAGATAAATGAGAGAACTGGACACCCCTAAGATGGAACCCATTTAGCCCAATGAGAATACTTGTCTGGTACATACGGGAACATTTTTCTTCTGGCTTCCAGGTTACTTAATGTTCCCAGTAATGTTAATCCCATCATTCATCGGGCCTAGACTAGCTATATAAACTAGCAACCACTTTTAGTGAAATTGGCAATGGTTCATTTAAGAATGCTATGCTAACAAACTTTCTGTCGATGATGGTTCTTCTTTAGCAACTGTTAAAGTGATACAGATTCCAAAGCCAAGTTCCAAAATATTTCTCTAATGTTTTTAATTGTATGAAATTACTCAATTTACCAATTTGGAAAGTTACAGAAAGGTTGTGTATATTTAGTCTTGTAAAAGTGATCCTTCAGCTACGGTTTATAAGTAGGCCTATGGTTGATATCTGTCTTCTTTTACTCCAGGAATATTTTTACAGGTACCACTCCCAGCCAAAGAATGTATCCGAGCACATGCCTCTTCCACAAAGTATTTTCCAGGACCCCTTCTTCCTGGTGGAGACCATATGCATATGCTGGTTCTCCCTTGAGCTTATCATAAGATTTGCTTGCGCTCCCAGCAAGATAACCTTCTGCAAAGACGTCATGAACATCATCGATATCAGTGCCATCCTGCCCTATTTTGTCACTCTGGGTACGGAGCTGGCCAAGGACAATGACGCCTCTCCAGGAACGTCTCTGGCCATCATCAGAGTCATCAGGTTAGTGAGGGTGTTCAGGATCTTCAAGTTGTCTCGTCACTCTAAGGGCCTTCAGATCCTCGGTCAGACACTGAAGGCTAGCATACGAGAGCTGGGCCTGCTCGTCTTCTTCCTGTTTATTGGCGTCATCCTCTTCTCCAGCGCCATCTACTTTGCAGAGGCTGACCATCACAACACAGACTTTGTTAGTATACCACATGCCTTCTGGTGGGCGGTTGTTACCATGACCACAGTGGGTTATGGTGACATGTACCCAATGACAGTTTGGGGTAAGCTGGTGGGCTCAATGTGCGCCATTGCCGGTGTGCTCACCATCTCACTGCCAGTCCCCGTCATTGTCTCCAACTTTAGCTACTTCTACCATCGGGAGACTGAATGTGTGGATAATACCGAGTACAAGACGAGTCTGTGGGAGGACGAGGGGCCGGAAGGGGAGGAAACAGAAGGGGGGGAAATACATGACGGCGATGGAGATCCAGAGGGGGATTATTATGCCATTGAAGGCATCTGCAACCCTTTGAACGGGACACTGCTGGCTGGACTGTGTGCAGGGCAGAGCACAGAGTTCAGTGGAGGAAACACATATCTGAAGGAACCACTGGTTACTCAAGTTTAGTGATGGTGAGTGTTATTTTGTACTATTTGACAGTATGAAAAATGACAAATGAATGAAAAGAAGAATGAAACGCAATGAATGAAATTAGAAAAAAGGTTACTGGAAAGTTAAACCATAAAAATAAGACTGATAATATGCTTTTTGTTGACTTTACTTTTAATTTACAGATATTTATTACAGCACTAGAGCAGCCAAATACCGCTGAAAAGCTAATTTTGTATAATGTAGCTTTAAAAAAGCAAGAAAAAGACAGTGAGTTTTATGTTCTCAGGGTCTTGATACGCAACAAATATAAGCTATTATTTATTAATGCTATCAGCTTGAGTTTTACAATGACTTTCTGAATATATATATATGTGCCTTGAAACTATGATGTCTTAGCCCTGTCACTTTTTGGCTTAAAGTTTGAAGTGGAAGCAGTTAGATTAGTAGCAATATAGATGTAACGTCTCATCAAAACTAAACCAAACCCACATTCTCAACATTCTTCTGTAAGAAATGAACAAATTCAACCTTTTTGTAGTTTTGGTTTAGGTGACCTTTATCACTGCTGTATTACTCATAATGACACAGTGTTACCTATTTGTGTTAAAGAGGAAGGTTTTGAATGCTATAAAAAAACTTCTGTACTTAACTGCTTAACTATGCACTCAGTGTTTTTAATAAAGATTATATTTTATTAATTTTTGTTTAAGTGGCATTGTAATTTATGTCTGTTGTACTAAGTATTTATTTAGAGAAATGTAACTGGTGCCTCTGAAAATAATATCAGCCTTATTGATTATAGCAGTGTTATTTTAGGATATAAAATACATCAAACTAGAGAATCACAATTAATACTTCACTGGTTAGCACAATGCATCCAAGCACAACATTTATTCACAGAGGTCTGCCAGATTCACTAACGTATGTGTGACCTTTTCCACCACAAACTAAGCCAGTATAAGCGGTAGCTCCATTGTACTGGAACACGAGACTTTCCACAACATCACATGGAAGGTATGTGCACTAATATATCATTACCAAGTGTATACGTCTTCGTTGACGTCATATAGTTTGTGTTAATGGCGGCAGTGGAACAAAGCATAGAGACAGTGTAAGACAAACTATTTTTTTTATTAAAGAAACTTCTCACAATAATAATAGTACTTATGTTTATTACTATTAACTGCTAATCTCCTTAACCGAAGCGTCAGTTTTGGATCCAAGTAATAACCTAAATGTCTCTGACCGTAACAAGTTAACAGTAATGTACATTGTAGGGAAATGTCATTATTTAAATGCATAATATGTCATTTGAGAAAGGGTTTTGTAGATTCAAACAAAGACAAGTGTTTATGAGTGTTTGGCCCTCTTTGCACCATTGCTTATTTGTCCACCAGAGAGCGCTCGTGCTTTCAAAAATATTCAGCCCACTTCCTCTCCACCATGACTGCTATGATCATTAGTCAAAATAAGTTCTTCCTCATTTTGTATAAAGTTTCTCCCATGGTTTGTTTAAATGTTGATTGAATTCCCCTGCCAACCAATGACTGACTCGGACACACAAAAGAAAGTTACATCACGTGTATTTTCATTCAGAATTTCTCTCAACTGATACATAGACATACATAGTACAAAAACTTGCCATTTCTTACTTATTTCTTACTCTTACAAAATGTACTCAAAGTGCAAACTGTTAAATCTGATAATTTATGATTAGGTCTTTAAATACATTAGTAATGAACCACACACACAATAAATAAATAAATTACATAAAAAACATTTTGAGGAGCAAAAATTACTCATTCAATAAATAAAAACAAGTCCCTGGTCAATAAATAATACATTTTTAGAATACAAAGCTATGTATATATATATATGTTACTGGCCCAATGTGAACTGAGGACTGACCATAGCATTCAGACCCATTCCAAGAAGGTCCTCAGAGTCCACGTTGAATCTTTGAATGTTTGGCGTCTGTTCAGGCACACTCTCCCGTGCCAAAGTGTTCCTAAGCGGTAGGAATCTGGTGAAGACTGTGTGACGATCTGGGGAATGTCTTGGTGCGAGAGACACTGGAAATCCATGGTGCGAGGAAATAAAACGAGTGTATCCATCAGCCAGCAGCAGCTCTCTGAAGGTGCAGTCGTCCTCTGAGTAGAGCCCCTGAAACACACAACAGATATTAACCATCATTGAACTACAAGACCATGGAGTTTCTTGGGGAACATAGTATTTTTTGCTTACCTGCCCCCTCAAATGACTTCCACTGTCCATACAGAGAAACAGAGATGATGATTGTCCCTTGATGACAATTTCCCCAGTTTTCACTGATTTCAGCTCTAGCACACCTGGAACACAAATATACGTCTTTACTGGACCTCAAACTATCCCATGAGGATGTTTTTGATATTAAAATATCCTCCAAAACATGCTCTCTTTCTGATTTATCTCCCAAATACTCACTGTGAGGAGTCTGAGCATCACTTCCTGACACTCTCCCATCCAGGGTCATCTGCAGATACATCCCTCTTCTGTGATTATCTGCATCATGAAAAAGGAAGGAAAGGAAGAAATTAGCATAATGGATAAAAGAGCAGCAGCATTTCATCAATATGCAATATTAAATCCGTTGTCGTATAAATACCTGTGTAGAGATGTACCTCTCTGACTTGATTATCGAAGGATAAAATTGGGTTGGAGTCAGCGAGATAAAATGACAAACAAAATTGAAGTCGAACAATTAGGAGAAAAGACGACAGGCCAGAGAAATACTTGTGTTGAAAGCAAAACATTTGGAAAAAAGGTTCAGGAGGATAATAAGGAATAAATACAAAATAAATAGCTTGATACAAATAGCTTATAAATATATGACACTGTACAAGCAAGTTCTTTTTGTTAAAAAGGAGCAAGGTTAGCTCCCTTTTAAAGGACTTTGGAGAAGGAGGTGCTACCCCCTGAATGTGAGTCAGACATTTCTACATAATGAAAGCGTGATTTAATGCTGAGAGGAAGACCTGTGTTTAGACACTATGTATGGGCTTCTTCCTGCCATTTACAGTAAGCCTGGCCTTTAAAGTTGGGTATTTGGACTCGGAAGTCAGGTGGGATTAAATTCCTTCGGGTCAACTATCACTTGAATCCAAAGATTTATGTATTGATTTGATGTTTTTAAGTGTTTCCAGTATTTACCCCTTTTTTCAGCATGTGTTTTAACATTAAAGGCCAACATTTGGATTATCTTCCACCACAGTTCAAATGCCTTATTTCAGATGTTGTTTCAAGTTATTATAAATGCATTTATTTGTAATTGTTATTCAATCATTATGTTTCCTCCCTATTCTTCTACATCACTGCATACAAGTGTAAGCATGATTGTATCCTGTTGTTTTTATATCTCTTAGCTATGACACATAGCCACATGTTTATGGTTGGCTAATGTGTTTCCAAGCATTTTTAAAAGTAAAAAACGTTGTTTATTAGGATACCTCCTCAATAGTTGAATAAAAAACAAAATTCCAATTGTTGAGTACAGTTACAAACCACATTATGAGCTATTATCGGTTCACATTGAGAAATATCAGTAGATACACTTTGTCATGTAGATAAAACCGCTTACCATAACTCAGGGTGATTTTTACTTTTAGAAATATACACATTTTTACAACTGCAAGAAGATGAAACACAAAAACATGTCTGCGTCATCTGCTCAATAAATTATAATAAACATGCACGAGTGGAAATGCCTGGATTTCACTTTGTTTATCTTATTTTGATGTGTGTGTGTGTGTTTGAGGGCGAGAATGTGGGGAAACAGGGGCTGAAACTTATTTACAAGCAGGAGACAAGTGTTTATGTGTCTGCAGCTGTGCAGTCACAAGAGTAGCTGTACGTCACCTTGTAAAGTCACATATGACGAAACACAGGGCATCACCAGGAAATGTTACCTTCTCTCGAAAAAGTGCATTATCATTGTAATGGGATGCAACTTCCGGGGTCAGTTCATCCAAAGTGATATTATTTCTTAATCAAGCTAAAAGAGTTTGGGAGCAATATTGACATATTACACTGTCTTCGTCTGTATTTATATATCTTCACTTAATATATAAAGTTTCTAAACAGTCCTAAATCGGAGAAGGTTTTGTGGCTTTTTTATACAAGGATCCTATGTGAAAGTTAAATAAAAATACACTACATTTGTGTTTGATGTGAAGCCTGCTTAGACATGTTTCCGGATGTTGAAAGTGAAATATGAACAGAATTGCAGTCATACGCACGATGGCCACGAGATGGTGCTAACCTGTTTACTCTTCAACCTCCATATATGAGCACCTTCTCACAGGAAGTTACAGCACTGCCACCATCGTGTGTACAATATCGATAAATGTGATTTCAAGACGGGATATTTGAGAGTTGAATGGACTGATAATGCATCACATACGTATGAACAGGGGTTCAATTGTTTTTTTAATGGCTCTTTTTTTTGTATCGCCTTTTCAAATATAGCCTTTCAATTACTTTTAAAGTGCCATAAGTGCCAGAGAAATTCGACATACTGTATATTTGGAATATTTGCATGTTTTTTTATGATTGATCATAGGTCAAGATTCATTACCCTGCATAAAGCAGACACCTACAAATTATGGTCTGGGGACGAGCTCATTGTTTCAGGAAGGGTTGAGAGGTTTTCCCGTCACCGCACTGAGGGCAGCCCCCTCCGGTAGAAAAGGACAGAGAGAACATCTTCACCAAGTCCACTTTCCCAGTCTTCAAGAAACGGCTGGCAGGTGAAGTCAAAACAACTCGAACACCGGCTGGTGTCTATAACCTTTTTCACATCTATATTTTATAACATGTATTATGACTTTTTCATAATTTTTTCACTATGTCTTCTTGCATGATATATTTCACTAAGATATGACTTTTTTATGTTTTCAAAATAATATATATTATTTATGTTTTTCGACATACTATACTATGACTTTTTTCATGTTTTTCGACCTAATATGCTACGACTTATTTCAACTACTTCCATTAAAGGTACATGTAAAAACATGACCTATAACAATTTTATGTCACAGGACCTGTCACATGCATATGTTTAATTTCATAGCCAAAATCTGCCAATACATATGACATTGTTGATCCCTTCCTAAATGTTAACCTATTGGTGGCCTGGTTAACTTTTCCACCCTAAACTTTTAAGTTAAAGAGAAAAATATACCTCCTAAAAAAATTCTTGCTCCACTCTTACCTATTTCTTCTTAGTCTTCACATATTTCTTAGTGTTGTGTCCAAGTTGAAAGTTCAATTAAGAATCTGCATTTCAATAGTTACTCTGAAAGACGAGAGAGAGAGAGATACATCCCAGCCAGCTATCTGACACCTTCTCTCATTGTGGGGAGAAACTTCCAGAAACTCATCCAGCAGCATTTTACAGGTATGTTTTTTTAATTACAGCTTTTACAATCATTATTATCATATTATATTCAATTATCATCACTACTCTCCAATAATATGATTGTAAATCATAACACAATTTGTTTTTTTTTCTTCAAAATGTACACATACAAGTAGCATATCTTAAATGTCCATAATTTAAAACATATTTCCTTTTTCAACTTAAAATTAAGTTACAGTCAGTCTTAAAACTAGGTATGAAATGAACGTACAGTTTAATACACACACACACGCACGCACACACACACACACTCACACACACACATACACACACACACACACACACACATACACACGCACACTATACATACATACAATAGCATTTATCATAAAAAATGATACAAATAAAATACACACATTTTACAAAGTCCTGACCCAAGCTTCCAGATCATTAGATGATTGATATCATGACGTTCACTCTAGAATGGTTGATTTTGGCATGCATATTAACACAAATGCTTACCTCTTTTTTTCCCCACTTTGAACAGGATTTTGTCATAAAGCACTTGGCTAAACGTCTCATTGTCTGTCATATTCACATTTGTGCATCTCATGTCTGTTATGGCTTAAGAACATACATTTAATTTCCCCTGTGTACGCTCACACGCTCCCATTGAACCTCCCTCTCCCCAGACTCTACTGTGTTGTGATGTTACTAGTCAGAGTATGTTCTATTTTTAGTCTAAATCATATTGAGATCACCTGAAAGGGTTTCTTTCTCCCAATACGAACTGGAATGCAGTTTCCAATTTTTAAAATACAAAAAAATCATTGTGTCAATATTGCCATCTCACACTCAAAAACAGGATATGTATTCACGATAGGCGATGGTCACTTTCTACAGGCCACTTTCTACAGAATCAAACAGCGTCATGCCACAACTATGGATCAAGATGGGGTGAGAGGAAGAGAGGGATAGAGAGAGACGGAGGGAGGGAGGGAGGGAGAGAAACAGATGGATAAACAGACATTCACTCTCTTCAGAATTCATTCACTCAGTGTCTTTGATTCTTCGAGACATCTCGTGTAAATCTTGTTGGTCATCTTCTTAGAGTCCATTTTTTTTTCAAAAATGTGATTTTTTTTTTCTTCCTCGGGTTAGGATAGAGACGGGGCTCTACAAAATGGAGTAAAAACAAAAGAATCGTGAAAGCTCCTGCTGAGATGAGATGTTTGATCTGGTGTTCACACAATCTATTTTTAGCTACAGATACACTGAGAGTGATTTGTTCCCACCTGGTGTGCTTATCTTTTAGCAGGAATATGTTCTGACGGACCCCGACTCTCCTCTCGGACCTACTGACAGAGAAAAGAAGGCAATCAGTCATTAACCTTATTATTTTCTCCATGCGACATCTCATCATATCCTCTTAAACTCAGTCTTTGTAACGATTTTGACCTTGGATTTAGGGATATTTAACCAATTAAATAGCTGCTAAATCTCCATCTTTCACCGTCCATCTTAGGCACTATGTTTAACAATGTGAAGTGCAAATAAATGAATAACTTCAAGCTTCATTAACACTAAAATAACACTTTTATGGTCTCCGCTTGTGTTGCGAAAAACGGTTTCTGAACAAGCAAATAAATCACTGAAAAGTACAGACGACAAAAACCAAATGTCACATACAGTAGATGACACTTTTTTGGATCTCTGAGAACAAAAACCTGCAATGACTTATTTTTGCTATAGAGGCCACTAAAGAGAAAGATCACTGATGTTTTCTCACACATGTTTAAACTCTATGAACCACTGTGTGATGCCAGATCCCAGCAGTTCTGCTTTAAATCAGCCGCTGTGAGCTGCTTCTCCTCACCTTCACTCTGGACTTTTCTCAGGGTGACGGAGGGGGTCGAGATGGCGGAGGCACGGAAGTTGGCAGGTAATGTCTCTGAGGAGTCGGACGTCACGCCGCGGAGGTCCTTCTCCCGGAACATTTTCCTCCATGACGGTGACCGTGTAAATGTTTTTGAGCCGTCCTGTGGAGATGAAATAACACCAGTGATTTTAAAATGACAGCATTCACACTTAGGGATATCTATATCAGGCTCTTGTTAAGAAGGGTTTGGTTGTGACAATAGACCACAGTCACAGAGCATTTAGTCCTATAAGCTGTTACATGACATAAATACTTTCTTTATAAGGATGTCAGATATTTGAGTCTTCTATACAACTATTCTTTACAACTGAAAGGAAATGATAATGTCGTGATACACATTTAACAAAGGGCAACAATTGACACGTTTGGATCAAAGGCCCTTTTGTCAAGTAAAACAGTCTTAGCCTGGGCTGTTACGATCAACACACACTCCCGCCTCCTGGCAGTAGTGATTATCGTGATTGAT